GGCCCTGCGCCGCACTGATGTCTGTATCATCGACACTCCCGCTCATTCTGCCGGTTTTCGGTGCTGTACAGGTGCAGTGTACTGAGCATATGTAGTAATGTCGTTGTTGACAATGCGTTTGAGTAGATGTTGCATAATTCGAGGATCTCAGAAGCTTTGCTAGTGATTCTAGAGTAGGTAGATTGGATGTTTGAGCTGAGCATATCTGACTAACTGCCTTGCGTTGCAGAAAAAAATTTGCTGTTACACCTTTGTCGAAGTCAACTATCAATGAGTACCAAGGAAATCGATACCGTAAATTTATAATTAGCCGTATACATTTTTCACAAAGTAGTAATCTCGTACAGATTTAAGCATTTGGATATGCTCAACGGGAACCTCGATTGTTCCCTATGTTGCAGTGATGTTTTATATGCATTTTGTTACGGCATGCTACGATGTTTTCAGTTTATTCCATATTTTATAGTCAACTTTCTTCCTTTATTTCAGTTGCAATCAGAGCGTGATATCCTCGAAGGCAACGTTAAAAGCGAACAAGCGAGTGTGATCGACAGTTTACTCACCACCATTCGCCGCATGGAAAGCGAAATGGCTGCAGGACGCAAAGTGGGTTTTTTGGAAGTGTTGCTGTTATGCGGTTGTGCACGTTTTTCCATTTATCCGTGCTCGCCACCACAAGAAACTCTTATCTCGTCATCCCCGGGAATTTCTGGTATTGTATTGAATGTCAGACTAAACAAATTGCTTTCCAGCGGCGTTTGCAGAATTTACAAAAATGTCGTGATGGCATTACGATGAGGTGGCTACGAGAAAGTACTAAGTAGTTATCTTTTTAGTCAACCTACAATTTTTCGCAAGATAACTGTAAATAAAACTCAATCGCATCACATCTAATTTATTATCCTTCGTTGCTCGTCCGGGATTAGCGCACCATGGCAACAAAAATGTATGTTACATTAGGCGCAAAGTTATTAATCATAATTGAGCCTACTTCCAAAGTTATGGGACAAACTAATGTGTTGTAGAATATGGATCGAATGCGTAAGGAAAAAATCGATCAAGAAAATGCACTCGAGCATGAGCAAGAATTGCTATTCAATACCTTGGGGAAGCAAATGGATCAGTTGAATCAGGAAAAAAGGTAAG